ATTTAAGTACTATATATATATATACAGTAACTGGTGTTTATTACTTAAAATATAATATTTTCCCTGACTTAATATATAATTATATTTGTGTTTTTCGAATATTCAAAGAACTTGTTGTAAATCTGATAGCAAATATATATCAAAAAAGTCAACAGAATAATAAAAGATTAACATAAACTCCCAGCTTGAGTGTGGTTTGAACGCGGGAGTTCCATATGATAGATGTGCGCTATAACCAATGTACACCCAGTTCTTTGTCATCAAATGTTAACAAATAATTCAAATCCCTAGCATAAACTATCATGTTATTCTTTTTCTCAATATTGTAATATCGTGCTCTAAACATGATGGGATTTGAACTGGAGACTCCTGCTTGAGACAAACCACTGATCCAATTTGAACGTTACCAACAGAGTCGAGCGTTACGAGAGTGGCTATTATATACATAGATGATGAAATTGTCAATGGAGATTTTAACGTTACTAGAAGTTCTCCCCGGTCTTTTTTGGCGTGTGTCATTCTACTCTTGGCAACAGACGCCTTGCAGTAGAACCAGCATATTCATTAGCCTTTTAATAACATGGAAACTCGTAATCCACAAATGATCATCCACTCCTGAGAATCGCACCTTTTCTAAATCTAAGTAAATAGTTTATTGGAAAAACAGCTTTCAAGATGTAACATGTTTGAACCTATAGATATACTCTGCTTAAGAAAGAGTTAACTTTTTTCTTGATAGACACATAATGTGAAATAATACAACAACTATTGTAATTGTTTTGGAACAATAGAATGTACAATCTGAGAGATAACAGTTTTCTAGATATGAACAAACAATATGATCAATAAATTCATTACAAAATTAATGCATTTCCAACATTTTTCGAATCTTGGCTGTTTCCTTATACAATAAAGCATAACTACTATTAAGCAGAATTTACTCAAAATAATATATAATAAGTCTACATGTATATTGTAATGTAGCGTATGCAGTGAAGTTAAAAGTGACAAGACAGTTTGACTTTTGCAATAATCAATCTAAAGCATGTACAAATATATACCCTCAAACGTTTAGGTCTAAATGCCAAGATTTTCCTTTTAACTCAATTTGATCTTGAATTTCAACCTTTTTCAAAAATTGTAACGAACGTGTTTGACCTTCAGTATGACCTTAATATTTGAGCTTCGTTCATCAAAAGTTAATTAATTGATCTTTTCTACCTAATTTCATCGAAATCAGATGAAAATTTGTCGAGTTATACTATTAACATATTCACACAGGAATAAAAACGATAATCCCATTCTGATTTCATACTGACTCTATCGATGTTTCCATTAAACATAAAATAATAACATTCATTAAAAACAAAATACACGAGTTTAAGAAATGCGTTTTTAGGTAAACCAATAACAATTTTCTATAAAGAAAAAGTAAATTAGTACATACAGGAGCGTAAGCGAAAATCTATAAAAGGTGGTAATGTTCTTGGGGGAATGTGAAATGAGTGGAATAGCCACAGTGAAAAGCCAGGAGACATGCCTTCTCGAGAAAGTTTTGTCCTTTTCACTGAAAATTGTACATTTTGACGGTCTTTGAGGTTAGTTTTACACATTTAAAATATGTTTTATACACAGGCCCGTGCAATTTAGGGGGGGGGAAGATCGCTTCCGTCGCACCTCTCTCCTACTTACGCGCATGACAGAGGTCAGTAGTTTCATGTAAGGGAATATTACTGCGCAAATTATCAACACCAAAACTATTTTATAAGCATTTACGATGAAATTCCAAATTCTGTGTTGTTTGAGAAAAATTCAGAATTAACTTCAACGATATACTCAGTACATGTACATTCTTAGACATTTTAGCCATAAATCCAGGCAAACTAAGTCTATATGTGTCAATATTTGAAACAGGAATACAGACTTACTTATAACTGACTTGAATAAAGGGGATTAAGGAGTTAATTTAAACAAGAATGGTTACATTAATAAAGTATTGTTTGTTTATTTATGTGTTTTAGCGCAAAGTCACACAATAGGCTATATGTACTCTGTCCACCACGGAGACTCGAAACCCGGATTTTGGCGTCGTAAGTTCGTTAATAAAATTTATTACACAATACATGACAGAAGGAAATTAATTAAATTAGATAAATATTCAACCAGAACAAGAGAAAATAAGTTATATAGACACGTTTTACACTTGAAAAAGATCATAAGACATCAAAGTTTTTCTGAGCAAATTCGATCCAATCAATCCCTTGTAAGGATTTTGTAAGGTACGCGTAAAGTCCATAAAGGACGTTATTCTATAAAACTACTCATTTCAAATAGTGGCACCTACAGCCACATTTTGTCTGGCCATTTTTAAATTTCTCTAAGAATATTCCAGTGATTAGTATACCTTTAAATGGTGGTTATATAGCTAGTTTTGATGTTGAGATATTATACATTAATATCCTCTTGATTTATGTGCAGATTTTATTTTTATTTTTAGAAAATTGTTAATAAGATATCTAAGCATTTGTTTTCTAAATTAAAATATTCAAGTGCCATTAAAAAAAGAGTCATTTTATGTTTTATCGTAACATTTACGATCAGAATGATGGGGTCAATGTGAAATCAAACTTACATCTGCCATTACTAATCATTACAAGTATTAGGAAAACCATTATCTCTAAATAAAAAACTATGTAAATCTGGCTACTGAGCTTGAAAAATTTAGCCAAACAAGATAGTGATGGAAGTGGACACATCACTTGATCGGCTGATGATTACGTAGTAGACTAAGCCGTCTCAACTTTACATAGAGAATAAAATCTCTACATCGCTGGCTTCCACGATCTGTCTATCGAAATCTTGGTGTTTGAAAAGAATCTAATCTTTAAGCATTATACCTTTCCATTAGTTTGAAAGTGGGCTAGCACTCTCTATGTGGGGATGGCACGGATGCCCGTATTAAGACAGTACAAACGTCATCTGGATTTTCTTCTCCACAGGTCATCAGAAACTAGATATGAAGAGCTACCTGGAATAGTCGCTCTGTCTCCTGTGTATATGCCGCTTTACAGCTATCCAGAGCATCCCAAGGTCGAAAGTCGGTGAATAGCAAAAACCGAGATTTCTTATTTTCGTTCATCATCATCTTTCATCAACAGGCCTAGCGTCTACCTAGTTCTAGCAGTAACTATACTTTTATCATCATAGAGCAAAACAGTCTTCACGGTCTTTTACTACCTATCTTATTATTGTTCTATGTAAAATTAAAAGAAAAAATCATAATTCTAGTGTAAACGATGTTACCACTCCTTGAAATTAGCTTTCTTACAGAAATTTGATGTACCTTTAAAAAGCTTAAGTTCAGAGTGAAGCAGGAATTACCAGCCAATAACAGATGAACATTAGATGACTGTAACATGTAGAATACTCAATGCTTTGAACATTATACAATCGGTGTCTTTAGGGAGTCAACGCCTATATTATATATGAAGTGAAGGAATAAAAAAAAATCAATATACACATAGGTCATCAGAAGCTAGATATGAAGAACTAACTTGCATAGTCGCTCTATCTCCGCTGTATATGCATCTTTTCAGCTATCCAGAGCGTCCCAAAGTCTAAAACCGGATAATAGCCAAAATACATAGGAGACTAAGCCGTCTTGACTTTATCTGGAGAATAAAGTCCCTACATTACTGGCTTCCTCACTGGCAAAGCAAATAGATCCAAAATTTCGACAGACAGCTTAGTCTGCTATGTGATCATTAGCCGGATCAAATGATATATCTATTTCATCACTATCTTGTTTGGTTCCTTTTTTCAAGTTTAAAGGCCAACCCTACATAGCTTTTTTATCTAGCGATACATTTTTTTCATAATACTTGTTTGTTTACTTTTCTATAAGATGACATACGTGTAGGTTACTAGGTTATAGAGTGTATTCTAAAGCATTATAAATTTTGCATAAGATAATAATAAAATAGGTAGTCAAAGATCATGAAGACTGAACTAGAACTAGGTAGCCGCTAGGCCTGTTTAAGAAATATGATGATGAACGAAAATAAGAAATCTCTGTTTTGGATATTCGCAGGTTTTCAACTTTGTGACGCGCTGGATAGCTGAAAAGCGCCATGTACACCGGAGATAGAGCGACTGTGCCTGGTAGCTCGTCATATCTAGCTTCTGATAACCCGTAGAAAGGAAAATCCAGATGACTTTTGTATTGCTTTATCGGCCCGGCATGGCCAGGTGGTTAAGGCGCTCGACTCGCAATCTGAGAGTCGCGGGTTCGAAGCCCAGTCACACCAAACATACTCGCCCTTTCAGCCGTGGGGGCGTTATAATGTGACGTAAATCCCACTATTCGTTGGTAAAAGAGTAGCCCAAGAATTGGCGTTGGGTGGTGATGACTAGCTGCCTTCCCTCTAGTCTTACACTGCTAAATTAGGGACGGCTAGCGCAGATAGCCCTCGTGTAGCATTGCGCGAAATTAAAAAACAAACAAAACAAGTATTGCTTTAATACGGGCGTTCCTACCATCCCTACATAGAGTCAATGACTGGCAGACTGTCTTGTCTCCTTTAAACATTATTACAGATGATACAAGAACACACTTTAGTTTCGAACAAGAATCTGATAAAAAATTGCAGTATATTTTTTTATTTTTTGATATTTTAACACTCAATGAGTAAAGTAGTTTCAAAACAAGTACTTATCAGAAACAACCCTTTCTTAGTTATACTCACAATCTTATAGTTTTGTATTTATGAGATTTAAAATTAATTTGGAGTGGGTTCTACTGAATCAAGTGTATAAAACTTTGAATACAGCTATGCTTTATCTACATGGATAAATAGTTAAAATCCTACAAAATTTTGAACTTAATATATTTGGTACCGACTTTATTGAATATCTAAATTTAAAAAGTTATATCTTAGATTGTGCAGTCTACTGTTCTAAAAAACAAAACAAAAGTAGTCGTTTTTACCTTATACAAGACAAAAGTATGTGTCCATAAAGACGACGTTAACTACCATCTTAAACATAGTATATCCGTATGTTCCAATTATAAGTATTATGAAACCTGCTTTTAAAATAAAAGATGTGGTTCTCGAGAGTAAGTTATTTCTCGTGGATTATAACTTTTTTGTCCTAGCTTTGCTAAGGAGTAGGCTGGATCCACCATCCGTGGATTACAAAGTTTTTGTCTTAGCTTTACTAAGGAGTATGTTGAGTATACCATCCGTGGATTACAAGTTTTCACGTCCTATCTGTGCTGAAAAGTGTGTTGGATCCACCATCCCTAGATTACAAGTTTTTCGTGTCCCAGCTGTGCTTAGGAGTAAGTTGGATCCACCATTCGTTGGACTAAAAGTTTTCATGTTTTAGATGTGTTAAGGAGAATGTTGGATCCATCAGTAGGTAGCTAGCAGTAAGAATGAAATATATAACACTCATCAAGAAGATCGGAAAGAACATCTAGTATAACTCATCAATACCAGAAGAGGAAGTGCAATTGAAGATTTGTGGTTGAGATTGTTGTGTTTGAAAACCTGACACCGGTTATAAATCAATAGTTTTCGACGTATACTTATTCTCTTGAATTATGAATTTTTTTGTTTCATCTTATTATCGACTGATATTGGATTGTTTTTAGCTTCTGTAATACAAATAAGATACATACACTCTATTTCCCCCAGTATCCCTCTAGTACTTTTGTAGTGGCAACGATGTCCGACGAATCCAGAGGCGCATCTGTAAGTACAAACAAATAAAAAACCCACTAAACTAAGTATACTAAACTAAATCTAATAAAAAGATAAACCGCTACTTGTTTAAAACACTCACGAATTTAATCCTTTTTATAAAGGCGATATGAATAGGCAATGCCTCTTTGTCTTCACACTGAAAAACGAGCATAAATATTACACGTAAATATATTCGCACTAGAAACACAAGTTTATATTTTTTGGAGTTATTTGTATTGTATTTTCTAAAGGAAGATGATCATACTTAGCCTAATTACTAAGGCCTACAAAATGATACTATAACTGAACAAATATGCAATATACTTTCGAAACGAAGCAGACACATCAATACATCAACAAAGAAAAACGGAGAAAAGTATATGTTTTCTCTAATTTCATAATTAATTTGTAATTGTAAGACCAGCAAAAAAAAAACAACCTTAGCTATTAAACAGCTGCAGCTTTTGAAACACGGAGAACACCACCCATCCCACAACAGTTTGCTACTCCTTTAAAACAAAATATATAACGACAATCACTGAAAGAGTGTAGTTATTTTTTTTAAAATAATATAATTTAAATCTGATAGTATGAAAAATATAACGTTTTGAACTCGAAGTGAAATTAGTTGGGTTTTTCATATCTTTCTACTTTCAAACATTCTCTCAGTGTAAAAAGTAAAGCTTAAAATAATTTTTTGAGCTGCGAATGGAAGTAAAGCTTGTAAAATGCATCAGTTTAAGAAATCAAGCCAATAGTCTTTTTTTCCTAGTAATAAAAATGACATTTGTAGCAAATACTGTAAGGAGGTTTCGTAAAACAAGAGGCATACTCTATAGCATTAAAAAACGGTGTTAGGGAAATTTTGTAATGCTCCATATGTAAAAATTAACACCAACAGTTCCATATTACAATTACTTTAAAAATTTATAAAGTTAATTTTAATATTAGTATTGCAACCACATATTGGTAAGTACGACCACGTTAATCAGGTAAAATAGAATATGATCTTAATCAATTCCTGTTGAACATGTTGGTAATAAGGTAGTCATTTTTAGTCTCTAAACTAAACAACCCAATCCATGCCAACTCCTCTGAGCCCAAGCACCTTGAACACATAATTTACTGGTCCTTGTGTATATCATTAACCTACTTTTTTGTGACTTCCTCTGAACTTTTCTTCGGCGTGATGCTACTGAAGCAAATGATCCAGACCTCGGTTTTCCGTTATTGGATGGAGAAGAAGAAGAATGCGAGGAGGACCTTGTAAGTTCTGAAGAATTGAAATTGGATTACTGGCTTGTGTTGTTCTAAGAGAAAGACTGATGCCTATCATTTTGCAGTTGTTTTTAAAATACAGTATGATGAAAATTTAGTTTTACATTTTTCGTCACGTGAGATATTCAATTTATATACTGATCTGAAGAAACGAATAGATTATCTCTAATAAATCAATAAAAGAAAATGTTTTCAAATATTGTTTTTCTTTCAAAAGTTTTTTTTTTTTGCACATACTTGGGCAACTTTCCGAACTGCTATGATATTCGTACAAAATAATGTGATGCATGACAGAATACACAATCGAACCTATAGGACTTTAAGTAAATGAAATCTGCTAGCTATAGATAATTCAAGTGTTTTACTAGCCACAGAAGTGTTTCATGCTATCTGTAAACCGTTTTCGACAAATTTAAAATTTATCGAGACAAATGGATATGTTAATGTAGAATTCCTTATATTCGTACTTATACTTAAAATACAGTATATATCTGTTTGTTCTGAAAATTTTCTATTGATATTGTATATATTCTTAAATAATTGTACATTGAAAAAATAACTTAAAGGAGAGGCATGTTTTGATTATTTTGATTACTGTATTTATTGGAATAAAACTATTGTACTTTGAGATTGTAATTGCACCCACAAAAGACACCGTATCCCATAAGGTAAATTTTTAGATGTGATTAAGATTATATGGACCTGTTGGTTTGTGATGAGATACAATGTTTTATATATTACATGCTAAAAGTTAAATAAAATAAGATATATATAAAAGGCAGGAAAATATGCAGTAAAAAGTTATTAAGTAGTTACTTCTTATAAATATATTGTTAATGAAATTTTAGAATATATAAAAATATATGAGTCAGAAAGTATACAACATTGGCGTCATCTTTTGGTGTAAAATTTGTTCTATTTTTTCATAATTTTAGACAAAACAGTTTCAGATTTTAAATATTGATTTCTAAGAGTGGAATAAAAACCTACAATTTTTTTCTTTTAATAACATTTATATAATTCTGTCAAAACATGACGCTTTCCGGGAAGTATCTAAAAAAGAAATAATGAAATTCAACATACTATCTATCGTGTACGTCGTATCTTTGTGTTCGCACCGGTGCCCTATATACCCATCGGCACATCTAAGGAAAAAAAACAGAAAGAATCATTTCTTTAATTAATATCTTAAAGTTATTCAATCTAAAAATGTGCTGTTGTTGTTGCTGCTGTTCTGAACAGATTTACCAAAAAAAAATTGGAAACTGCTAATCAGGTCCCCTCTGTACATAAACATGCAGGGTATTGGTAGCTTGTATGTTATTAAATTCAAAAGTTCCAATCTCTTAAATTTGAAAAGAGCGACGTTATCGATGATCAAAAAAGTTGGGAAGTGAGTATTAAAATTAGAGAATAAATAAACATTTACTGGTAACTATAAAGAAATTATAAACGTTTAGTTTAAAACTGGTTTAATTTTATCTGTGGTAAAAAAGAAAAAGAGAGAGAAATAGATCACATCAATAAATTAGTCGAGAAAGTAAAAACCGTTCGAAGTTATATACAAACTTTAATGGTATTCCAAATTCAGCAGTTTTTTTTAAAAGTACGATGATACTTCTGATGTTATATACTAATCTTCTCTTGTAGGTTGACGTTTGAGTAGCTGAGAAATGCTAACTTATTGTAAAAAAAATAATGAAATTAGAAATGTTCAACATTCACACGTTATTGTGATACATCATTCAAGTATTTTCGGTACTTGATGACCGGTAAATATTACACTTGACACACATGCTCAGTCACTATCTGTTTATTGTATCTCAACAAGAAATTTATAAATACTTATGATGCAATACATTACCAGAAGGCTCCAGTAAAGTTATTTCACAACAGAATTATATATGCTTTGATTTTTACATCACCAGAACTTCAGTTTCCAGTGCCTATAGTTGTGTTGCGTTAACACGTGGTTGAATAAACATCCTGATGAACAAATTAAATTAGTTTCGAGTTTCAATAGTTACATGAATTTGGAATTCTGCCCCCCCCCGGTACCCCCCATGAGAAGACAAATTTGTTGACGATCGATTTCTTGTTAGCAGGAACATGGGCTTAGATTCCTTCTAAAGTATATATAATCCCCAATCAAAAAATGTGATTCACCAGAATTGCCCACCACAGTTAATTCAAGGATAACTTGTTTTTAGAATGAGTAATTCCGCCGTTTACACTGTCTTAAAACTATTTTATATAAAAACACAGTATTTATGTACTATTTTTAATTTTATAGTTAATTACTTTGTATGTTATACAAATCAGTTCATGGGGACAAAAGCTATCTAAATGCTTCGAGACCCCGATGGGTCAGCGATAAGTTTAAGGACTTACAACGCTAAAATTCGGGGCTCGATTTCCGCGATTCTGTAGCTCAAAGTGAAAAAAAAAATCACTAAACGTTTCCAGGATAAAATTAAACATTATTCTAGAAAAGTCAACATATATATTAAATACAATCATATCATTGAGTTTCTAAATTTTAGTTAAATATTACATTTCAACGTTAAACTGTTTGTTTAATTTCGCGCAAAGCTACTCGAGGGCGCTAACCGTCCCTAATTCTGAACTAGTAGATGGAAGGCAACTCTTGCGGTACACTTTATCAACGAATATTGGGATTGACTTTCACATTATGACGCCCCACGAATAAAAGTGCGAGTAAGTTCGGTGACAAGTTTTGATCCCACGACCCCCAGGTTGCAAGACGAGTGCCCTATCCATTAGGCCATGCAAAGCCCATGTTAAATGAATACGTAATTGGTAATAGAATGCAGTAAAAGAACGAAATCTGACATACCCAACATAAAACTCCATAGCAGTGCGTAGTGTGTTAATTTTAAGTTTGTTAAGAATGAATATGAATTAGTTATGCCCTCGCAGAAATTCTCCATAAGTGATACATATATATATATATAACGTATAGCACAAAAATTTACATTTTGGTTAGATGTATTAATGTGTCTGCTACGCGTTAGAAAGTTAACAAGAAATCTAAGGCATAACACAAAATGTCAAGAACATTCAGTTTTACCTTTAAAACCTAGTAATCCATAGTTTGTTAGTACAATCAATTCCCTATCTTTTGAAACACCATTACTTCAGCAAGCAAATTAAAAGCACCAAAAATCATTTCTCTTTTGAAAAAAAACAAAACAAAAATCTGTTAATATACTTCTCTTTCAAATTGCTATGTCCGTCATCTTACACATTCCGTGACATAGCTTTAAGAATGCACATCATGAAGGCTACTTTTAATCATTGCATTTCAATCATAGGAAACTTACAATTAATCAGTTGACATTACAGTTTCCAAATATATAAATGCACATAAGATCATTGTTCTTTATAAGCTGTTCTAACTCTGTGAGATTCAATTAGTACAGTTTTAATGGGTTCTTTATATCGAATATAGAAACAGTTGCGAAAAAAACAGGAAGTACAGTAAATCAATTTGTAATCTAAAAATTCAGGTACTTTTTAATTAAAATGTACTTTCGAGGCTTTTGAAGCAGGGTTATGAATTACTTCACTGAAATACGAAACTAAAATCAACAAACGTGGCCAATCAATTTTTGATAATAAACTAATCGACTAATTACGTTTCACTTCAGGTAGAGTCTAGACTATTTTACTCATTTATCAGAACTTCATATAAACATAAAGAAATTACCCACAACTTCAGATATTTAACTTGTGATATTCTTTATGAAGGTTTTATTGAATATATATTGCTCTACAAGAGTTAGAAACCATCTACACTTTATTGTTGTTTTTTTTAATTAAAGTGCAAAATGGTTTCAATTACACAGTACAGTAGGAATGTTTTGTGTGTGTATGTGTGTGCAAATTACCCAGAAGCTCGGCCATTTTTAATTATTTATTTTTATGTTAATCACCTTTTTCTTTGTGTATGTATATTCATTCATAAAGCTAACTTTATAACATAATACGTTTCATCTAAATCCCTATGTGTTTTTTTTTTACCTAATTTATAGGAGGGTTCTAAGAAGCCACACACAATTAGTATGGATCTAACTGCTCTAATTATTTGCATCTGATCATTTTCTACCACATTCGAAAAGGTCTGATTGCTAAAGGACCAGTTGATTTCCACGCTCCTGAAATTTCAGTCTGTGGTTTAAGTAGTAACAATACTGTCGCTATTGCGAAGGAGGACTACACTAGACGTAAATTTGTGGTCAAAACAGGCTTTTTAAAAGTATGTTCTCAAAATTTTCCAAAGGCATAACAAAACTGCCATTTATGGCAGAATCAAGTGGATGTCCTGGAAAATTCAATAAATCATAAGTTTCGTATCTGAAAGAAACATCAGAAGACAGAAAGAAATCTAGCAGCATCTTAGCCAAAAAACTACATGATTATATTGGAATAATAGTCAACTCATATACTATTTGCTGTCATCTTATCAAAGCAAGGTGAAAAGGATATGTCACAGTGAAGAAATATTTTTTTACGCAATCGTAGCGAAACCAAACTATAAACCCTTAAATGTTTTGATTTAATGAGTCATAATTTAGAACCTTCGTATCTAACAGACTGGAGTTTGTTAAAAGAAGCGGAGAGGAACTGATGGATCAGTGGAACACTGTATGCTGTAGTATAGAAGTATGGAGCTGGATCTTAGCTTCCAGACTAGGATATCTTATTAAAATAGTAAAAAATTGGAATGCTGCAAATATATTTGTAATCTCTCATTATTTCTGATCAAGACTGATTGATCCAACACACAATACATTTTGTAGAACAATACCTAACGAGAAAGGAAGTGGACAAAATGATGTCATTACAAAATGATCCCTTCGGAGTCCAGTTCCCAACATTATTAACCGTGTTATATTAGGGATCCCCAAACGTTTTCAGTACACTGGCCACCAGGACATTCCGTATCGTGAATGAGACCTTCTACCCATCCAATAAATCTACAGATATCTTGTACCTTAACAATACTGTGTATTTTGGGTATTTTGCTACGATCCCCTGGCACGATCACAATTTGGAAACCCTTACGTTATGGAGTCGTATTAACAAGAATCATCAAAGAGAACCACAAGATACATTTTGGAATGTACGACAGAAAGTATGGAAGAATTTTCCGAAAAATATGTAGAGAAACTTCTGGATATTAAGCATCCTTATAATCTAAGAGAGGTCACACAAACTACTAGTTTATGTTTTGCCTATGTTGTTTATTCTGTTTCTAATCATTCGAATACTTCGTATAAAATAACTGTAGCAGTTGTATAGTTTAGTGTTCAATCCATTTAAGTTAGACAAAAATGGTTCCTCTCTGATTTTGTACTGTACTGTGTAATAAATGAAACTTTTATTTGCCTTGGCCATTTTTTTTTGTTTGAATATAAAGACAAGAAAATATATATATTTTAATAATTCTAACTTCTGTGGAACGTCTAATTATTCGCTACAAATGAAGTTAAAAATATATACTTATTTTATCATAAAAAAATGAAAAGGTCTTATTTAGCTACAAAACGGCTAGATACACAGATAAAGGTAAGAAAGATGCATAACTTACTCACACACCCGTTCCTGCAGAGACTCGATCATGGTACACTTCCCTCCGTTCAGACAATAGGACTGGACATCACATGGTCGTCCTTTGAATTGCCAGTGTGGAGATTCTATTACACCGCAAACACCATGAATACAACCTAGCATAAGTGCACCTTAGCAGCTAGGGTTTGACTACTACATAGCATTAGTGCATGATTATTCTCAAGCAAAGATTTGAATTATTAAAAATAAATTCAAGTGAAATTAAAGAAGAGTATTAGAGATTAGTCTTGTATTAATAGCAAGCTTTGCTTTTATTCTCAGCTCTAGCGTAATAATGGAAACTTTTCTTACCCTCATGTATAAGTAAAACAAAAATTTGGAAATAAGAAACTCATCTTGAGCATACTTAGATACATAAAAGTAAATACATTACCAAGAAAGTAGACTTTTGTTAGATGTTAGAATATTACAACCGTTGAAGAAGTTTGATATTTTTTTGTAAAAGAGTGTATAAAACTCTATATCAATTAATTTAACATTTACAACAAAAGCACACATTAACTGTTATTGCTAACAGTTAAATTATTCTCATAAGAACTGTTGAATTTTGTAATAAAAAGACTATGTACACACGTATTAAGCACACATTAACTGTTATTGCTAACACTTAAATTATTCTCATAAGAACTGTTGAATTTTGTAATAAAAAGACTATGTACCACACGTATTATTACTAGCATCATATCACTTTGGTAAACAATAGTATTGACTAATTGAAATAATATAATAAAATATATATATGGGGTTTCATTTCTACATATAGTAACCTAATTTAATTTAGGTATGTAATTAATATTGTGACATTTTGTCGAATCCGATATTCGATATTATAAAGTGGACCAACTGTTTAATGATTGTATATATGTGTTAAATATTTATTTTCTTTTTCACCAGAGGTGAAATACAAAAGAGAATCTGTGACATAGAAGCCTAATGCATTATTTGATTGGCCGTGCCCTCTACTGTGGATTGCAGTTTCGCCTATTCAAGGCTCATCAACACATCTTGTGTCAGCAAACCAGAGAAATACCATTAGATCTCTTACAATGGTGACGTGTATGTAATATTTATGGGGTTTTGAGTCCGTTTTACTCCACCATATACTAACCTAAATTAATTTAATTACGTGAATAATGTTATGACATTTCATCGAAAAGAAAATAGCTATTTAACATATATATATATAAAATATCATAAACATTGTATTATTTTTTGTAGTAAATTAGAAGCTGTTAAGAACACAAACTATTTAAATAGTATTTTTAAGATGGCTATTTTCGAAATAACATTTAACGATATGACATTATATATTATTGACAGTCACTACAACAAGTCACTTCTTTATTGTAATTTGTACATGGTCCATAAAAATTGACATGTTGAATTCTTTGTAGACATTTTAAGAGAAATTTACTCCTTAATGGTAAGAATTATTTTTAATCAGCAGTGTTATCAAACACCCTATCTAGTTATCTTATCTTATCTACTTATGAAATGGCATACTGGAGATTTTATGAAACAATATATCTTTAAATATATCATTATTTAAGGGTTGCTTAAAGAATGCTGTGATTAACTAAGACAATTTTTACATGGAGGTTAAAGTATTATATTGTTAGGTTACTGTTGCTCTCAGTAGAACAAGTGGTTAGGGACGAATCCAGGAGGTTCTGGTCACCTCCTTAAGTGATGTCCCATAATGTTAAAACAAATAATGCGTAGATAAAACAATTATTTAAGCCTAATTCTGTGATAGGTTTCTAGAAGGCACATGACTCTACAACATACATTTCACCAAATGTCTCTACTAATAGAAAAGAGAACAGTATTTTTCAGTAAACAGTTAGCCTCGACGTTTCGTCTTGCAGTTTCATCAGGATGGATTAACAATCTACTATTGTGATACTTGAAAAAAGGCTGTTCTCTTTTCTGTCATACATATCTACATTCGAATGTACTCTACCCAACCTTCGTTTTACTAAAATGAATTATTTTAATTTTATCACGACAAAATTTCTCGGGGGATTAGGGGGGTGAAATACCTGGCTAGTCCTAGAAGTGGATCCCTTCCTTTCAGAAATCCTGGATCTATCCTTCATACATAATACTGTTTTAATGTTGGTTGTTTTGTTACATTAATATAAAGGACCTTGTCGTGATTGTACTTTTCTACGCAGTTATAAGAACGGAATTTACTCTTAATGTTATTTTAGTAGAAATAGTTCTTCACGTAATACATTAATTACATAATCTACAGTAACAGGATCTCATTTTTACGCACTGTAATGGAACTAACTTCTATACAACATTATTTTGGATTTAGTGTAATAATTACTTACAATGTAATTTACGTGATTCTTAACATTATAATATCATGCATAGTGTTGGTTGTTTCTTAATAATTACGTTAGCGCTATGAATTACTGTACACGTGTATTGGGTTTATCGAGATAATTTTCCAGAAGTGTCAAATTGTTCTATATCGTATTGTGTTATAATATTGCGAGCCACTGAGTAACCAGCACGAGGTTCGAACTGCACCTAACATCCAGCCATTACTAACAGGGTTCAGGAAGTACGACGCAGACGAGTCTCGGCGCCGTTTGTGTCGTTAGAAAGGAAGGAAGCTTATCCAAGCAAACACTAAGAGATGACGGGGTCAAAAACTGATGATATACAAACAACGCATCAAGAAATCGAGAATCGACCAAGTAGAAGCAGTGGTTCGGTAGAGGTTTTTTGTTTCAACAACGCAAATACATATAGCCATAGTGTTTTCTGGGCCGCATTAGCCTTAGAAGTACCAACATGGTACATAGACCCCATCATCCTTTAAATGTATTTTTCTAAACCGTTTATGTACCAAACTTAATTATATCTGTTATAAGACACTAGTCTTAGGCCTATTATATTTTTAACACTACATTCTTTATCTAGACCATTAGGGATTTTCAAGATTAAGAAGAATATATATAATAATAGTATTCCAACCACGCCATGTTCGTCAAATCAATTGCCGACGACGAAAATCCCTAACGGACTAGATAAAGAATGCAGTGTTAAAAATAAAATAAGCTTAATACTAATGTCTTATGACAGGTATAATTAATTATTATAATGCTTCGCCAGCTTGGAAAAGACATTCACACCATAACAATTATTGTTATAAAAAATGAGCTGTATGAATAGTGTTACAATCACCACTACGTTTGTTGTGTCCAAGCAGGCCTGATAAGCTCTCGACTGAACGAAACTCGTCGTTGGCAATGGATATGACGAACTTAGTGTGGTTGAAATACTATTGTTATAAGCTTTTCTAAATTCTTGTAAATCCCCAAGGTACTTAGTAAAAATGCATTGTTAAACTATTACTAATTTATTATGACAGGTATGATTAATTATAATCATTCTTCACCATTTTGGAAAAGGTGTTCACACCATAACAATCGTTTATGTAGCAAACTACCTGTGAGTATAGAAATTTGTGGGTTACAGTGTTCTTTAGTCTATTGATATATAACTATATCTTTTCCTACTGATTATAGAACAAATGTTGTACTATTTCATTCTAAACCTAATATTTAGTACAAGCTTTAGGAGGCATTTTCTCTCTGAATTCAAGTTTTATTTTCATTTTGAAAATTGCATTATATTTTAACACTTTCCGTAAGATTTTATTTGAAGAGTGTTTAATATCTGGTATTCGTGATGGAAAGTTGTGTCAGTAACCGTATAGATTATTTTATTTCTACAAACAAATGTATTTATAACAAATATAAATCACTCAACTTAAAAGGTTTGTTTGTTATGTATTTCGCGCAAAGCTACACGAGAGCTATCTGCATTAACCGTCCCTAATTTAGCAGTGTAAGACTAGAGGGAAGGCAACTATTCATCACCACCCACCGCCAACTCTTGGGCTACTCTTTTACCAACGAATAGTGGGATTCACCGCAATTATATAACGCCCCCACGGCTGAAAGGGCGAGCATGATTGGTGGGACGAAGATTCGAACCGCGACACTCAGATTGCGAGTGGAGCGCTCTAACCACCTGGCAACTTAAAATGAAACTATGGTAACTGATTCATCAGGTGAAAACCAAGTTTTATGATAAATATTAAAAACACGGTAATACAAAAAAACATTATATTGTTACCGTTTAAATCTGTTCTTTCTAAACTTCCGATTGAATACAAAAGCTCGCTCAATGCTAATGTTGTTTTTTGTAGTTCGAATATTATGAACTAAGTTTTTTTTTCAGATATTAACGCTGATGATGGAATTTAAGGAAATTCCGAAAGGTCCGTATTAAAGATATTTTTGGTATTACCGTGTTTTTAATATTTATCATAA